AAATAAACTTTACATCTTATTTTTGAATTGTTTTATCTTTAAAAATAGGTTTGAGTGTAATTTTCACTTATCAGCTACTCTAATTTATTCCTCGTGACTCACAGTCCTTGGGCCCATGTTTTTTGAGAGAGAGAAGCTGCCATAAATATATGGATAATGATAGATGTACATCAAAGTATATATAAGGGTGTCCATAATGGACACCCGACACCTTCCTATTGGAGAGAGTGCATGTGGGACCGGCACTCCCTCCAATGAAATGATGCCAGGTGTCCATTATGTACACCCTTATATACTATTTGACGTACAAGAAGCATGGTCCTAAATATATAGTACTAAAAGGTAAAACATAAGGGGAAGTAATCATAAAAACAATACAATTTCAAAAATACCAAAACTGTGAATTTATTATTTAAAAATCATATCATAAATCATTATTATCTTTCCTAAATTTTAAATATATATAATTCGAAGAAGAGAATAACGTGACTCGAATTGAGAGTTATAAATGATAATTGATGATTATTCACTCCATCTTATCACTTCCTTAAAAAAAAAAAGAAAAAGAAAATAATTATCTTCCTTCCCAATATTCCCACAAATTCTAAAATAGAAAATAGAATTTCGGACCTCCATAGCGTGATTATCCAGAATAAAAGAAGAAATTGATCACAAATTCCCAATATGAATTCTTCAGAATAATTATTTCACTCTTGTCCACAATTTCTATAGGATAATTGGCCACAAGTTCTACATCATTTTTTACATCTATTTTAATAATAAAACAATTAACCTGATCAAGGCATTTACCACAATGTTTTCTAGTCATTTAGTGAGAAAGTTGTGATTCTGACCTACTATGTTGTGTGACTGGGAGTAAACTGTTACAATCTGTAGTTTCAATTATGCACGTATAATTTAGGAATGTGACCTAGGGCACGTCTTTAAAAAATTGCCATTTTGTGAGAAGATTGTCATTGTGTTGTTTGAATAGCTAGGACTTATGAGGTTTTGTGATTGTGATAAAATATTTGTAATATGTTATGTGATTGTGACTTATAAGGTTGTGTGTCCGTGACACATATTCATAAATATGTGATACTACTTTTTGGCTTCGTGTCACTTTGAATGTGACCTAAATTATGTCTCTTTGAGAATTGTGACTTCGTGCAAACTTTCGAAGGCTATCTATGGCTTAAAGCAGTCTCCAAGGACTTGGCATTACAAACTTAGCAATTCTTGAGTAGGGTTTTCAAGGTATCGAATCTGATTCTTTCATGTTTGTTCTTTCTTCAGAAGAAATTCAGAAAAGTATATATCAAAATCTCTCTTCACACTCACTCACAATGGACCAGTCTAGGTGATTGAACATCCACATTAATTGTTCAATTTAAGAGTAATGCTACGTGAGGTGCTTGACATGAGTCTGGATGACAACGGAATCCACCTTTAATTATCTCGCCTTAATGGTCAGTTTAATTGAACATTTATAGGTGACATCCCACTGCCAGCAAAATCGATACTAAGTAACGATAGTACCAATCATCATTACTCAGTATATATACACACTTGATCAGTTTATACGGATGGAATTTCAAGAATGGGACAAAAAATGTGTTTTTTTTTTTCGACATTTTACATGGGCTTGTTTGGATTTCATTATAGTCAACCTTGTTTTCTTTTTTTTTTTTTTGGCTTATCAGGGATTAATCTGATGTTGCCAGTAGCCCAAGCCAAATTCTGTGTTAAATCTTTTACTGGATATGGTTGTGATTGGACTCCACAGTGTAATCAATATTGCAAGTATAATTATGGACAGTATGCTGTAGGATTACATGAACAATTCAATTCCTGCTTCTGCAAATTTCCCTGCCCTCTGAGAGTTAATTAATTTTCCAAATTTCTGTTCCTTCTATGTTTGGAATGTTAATGGAATAATATCAATTATTTTGATGTGGACAGTGGTATTTAATTTCTTGGCACGAGATTAAAACCCTAAGATTTTTGATTTTTTTGAAGATAAATTTTCTATTTTACTTTCTCCTAATAGATTTTATGGCCGTACACAAATGTTTGTGACAAAAATTCAACGAAAAAAAGCTGTGAACAAAAGTGCGAATTGAGCATACATTGACGACCTTCATTGCAAATTAAAATGGGATGTAGTTGCTTCATATCAATATATTTCAACAACTTCTTCAGTTTTGGGAGAAAAAAAAAAAAACAATAAATCTTATTTTGACAAAGATGATGACAGATTATGAAGAGATATATGTCAAAGATCGAAAAATTTAGTCAAAATTAATGCAAATGATATAATTGGAGAGATAAGAATAGACTAATTTCAGTAATTTGTAATCAAAGACGTGTAGCTAAGCTAACCATAAGTGGATTTAAACCCTATAAAAGTGCTAATAATTATTAATTACCGCTTAATTATGTAAACCACACCTGCAATTTAATTAAATGTTTTTTTAACTTGTAAATGAGTTGAATAATGCTATTTACCGTGGTCAATCTATACGATATTAATGTGACATCAAAACTAGAAGTTCATACAAATTAAAGACTTTCTATACTGCGTTCTACATACAAGTACATCACTAAGAAAATATGTTACTATCAAGTACTTTTGGATCTGTGACTAAATCTTTTGAAATTACACCAAAAGGGTAGCAGAATATACAAAAAAAACTCAACCATACCAAATTTGATTCTTTAGATTGAGATTGAACCTGCACTTGTCTTTATTTGATACGGTTTAAGACCTTCCATTTTCTCAACCAATTGAACTTAAGAATAACTCTACTCTGCCAGCTTTGCATCACAGGTGTTTTACAGGCTCTCTCACAATGAGGTGGGCCACACGTGCAATAAAAAATGCCCAAAAAAATACCCAACCCCCGGAATGTGAGTAGCCTGGAACAACCCTGTGAGCTACCGGCCTGATCATGTAGCAGGGCTCTTGAACTTAATCTTCTTGAGTTTCCGTCATCCCAACTTCCACTTCTTGATTATCAAACCCTAATTTCTGAATCTCATTCTGTAAAGCCTGTGCTCCGCAAATCGCTATTTGACGAAGAGCAAAATCCAATTCCGCCTTGTATAAATGAATATAACTGTCCAACTCTCTGATTACATTACAACACCCTTGGACAGGGTGAATTGCTCGCGTGTTCGCTTGAGAAATACTCGTTTTCATGGCGGTTTCTTTCTTTCTTTGTTTCACATTTTTAAGGATTTTCTTGATGTTACTGACTCCGAAAAGCTTCTGTGCATCGAGGAAATCTTTCTGTCTATCTGCAGGGAAGTACGGGGCTAAAGAGCAATTGGGTGCACATTTTCTGCGTTGGTATTTGCATGCAACACAATCTTGTAAAGAACCAGTTCCCTCTGATCTACGGGCGGACTCGGGGCACCTGCCCCCAACTTTTGAGAATTTTTTTTAAAGTCATGTTAGGTATCGATTGAAATCTAAATTTTAATCTAAATCAAAGTTAACAATTAATTTTAATAACATATTTCATGAAATCCATAACTATTTAACTTTTGTTAAAATTTATTAAAAAATTAATTTTAATCTCCATCAAATAGGGGCAAAATCACAATAAATTTGAATTTCGATAACATGCTAATTTTAAAAATTCTCCAACGATCGTTCACTAATTGAATCTACAAATTGCTTATATCATCTCAAAACTTATTTCGAGAACTACATTATGGACATATTGAATAGTCCAAACATATATCAAAAATAGTTAAAAATACGTTAAACGTGAATCTTAAAGAAAGACGTCTAACTAACATTTTTTTTTTTAAAATCAATTATTTTATTAACATTTATTATTTTTGTGATACAAATTTCTCAATATAATTTTCATCATTTTATTAGGAAATTTTCAAAAAATTTCTAAATTTTACATTCAAAAAAGTCATATCCCATTAAAATTNGTCCAAACAGATGTCGAAAATAGTTTAAAATATGTTAAACGTGAATTTTTAAGAAAAATGTGTAACTCGCTTTAAAAAAAAAAATCAATTATTTGATTAATATTTATTATTTTTCCGATACAAATTTCTCAACATAATTTTTATCATTTTATTAGGAAATTTTATATGAAATATAATATAAAATTTTTTCGAAATTTTACATCCGAAAAAGTTATATCCCATGTATTTTTTTGGATGGAAAATTATATATGGTGTGATTTTTTTGGACGTACATTTTCGATTATAAAATTTCTCCCAACTTTTTTGCAAGTTCGATTGTGCCCTCCTAACTTTAAAGTTTTGCGTCCTCCCCTGCTCTGGTCCACTATTTGCAAATTTGGCTGCAAGATTCATGCTAATAGATCGGCCCCTTTTATGCCGATGTTGTTTGGGGTGTTTTCTCTCTCTAGAATCTGGGATAGAAGTTTGAGAAAATTAAGGAGACAGAAAGGGTTTCACGCTGTTTGTACAATGTATTTTCACAATATTGTCTGACAATGTTGTATGTGGTAGAAGAGTATTGATTCGAAAGATAATTTATTTTTTAAACTGTCCAATGACAACATGCCACAACAAATATAATTGAAGATCTTAAATGTAATGGAGGTGGGTAGAGCAATGCAGAACGTGGTGAAGTATGTTTGATATTTGAATCGGTTTAGAATTTTCTTAAAATAGGTTTTAGAGATGGAAATTTGCTCTTCTTTCCCAATTTTTCATAATTCATTTTTTCCTCAAATTCATCTTTAACCATATATTTCATGTGACCTACAATCTTATCAATATTTTCAACAAAACATTGTATCAATCTATATCAAAATCTACTAAAAAATTGATTTTTGACTAAACCAAGCATGAACTTAACATATAGACTTATGGAGAGTATACCCCAGTTTGGTATATATTAAAATTTGAATAAAGTTATGTACACTGGGGATTTGCCCATGTACATGTCCATGGAGACTTGACTCCTTGGCACTCGCCACATGAAATTAGCACAACTCTTAGAATTTAATAAAAAATTCAAATCAAAGTCAACAAGAAGTAATTTTAATCACATTTGATTTTATTTCTCAGGATTCATAACTTTTCAATTAAACATTTCATTAGGTTTTATCAAAATCAACTAAAAAATTGATTTTAATCTACACCAAACATGAGCTAAGTTCTTTTTCTTCAGGAGGATTGTAACACAGAGTACAACATTGTACTTACAAACTCCGAAGCATTTTAATCTTACAATGTACTGGATTGCAGTACTCAAAAAACAAATTGTGCCACACTCGAGTTATAAGAATTGTAAGATTTAGTATATAGATATATAGTTAAGTGTTGCGAGAAAGAGAAATGGTGAAAGTGTCCAAAAGGGTCGACATGAGACCATAGACATATAGAATTTCATCATACTGTTTGTGCATTTGAGATTTTGAGTCCTGAACTTTAAAAGGTATGTGATAAGTGATTCTATATTTGTTTTCAAGTCGTCCCCGTAGAACCTTTTTTCATCATAGATTGAATGCAACTTCAACAATAATTGCGATACTACGATGTTGCAAAATTGCAATCAATCGATTTTTATTTCTTAGTTCTCTGGGCAAATTAAATTAAATTAGTATTTTTAGTAATGAATTGTTGTTCACGTCACAACAAATATTTAATACAAGAAAAACTATTATGTCGTTTCTTGCATAGTTGTTCATAGCAACTAGAAGAAAAACTTCAATCGTAGATGGACTCTGCCTTTGGATATTTATATGTACCAAGGATACTCGTAGATGTAGATGACGTGCCAAGGAAAATTACGAGAAGAACTTAAATAAAGATTTATTTTTAAAATTTAATATTTGAAAAATTTCAATAGTTAAATTAGGATCCCAATTCGAATTCTGACTCCGTCGTCAATGATAGATTTGAGAATATAATATTAGAAAGTCGTTATTTTCATCCACAATTTTTATATATCCATATCACTCTAAATTATCTACTATTAAAATTTTTAAAAAGTATTATATTCGTCCACATTACATTTCAACATTATATCCTTATTATTTAAACACTATATATCAACACCATTTTTATATCTATCTCACATTAAATACAGTAATACAACTAACCTTTATTTTAATTTTAATTTTAATCGAATAGTAAATTTAGTTGAAAAATTTATGCTAAACCAACTAATTAAACTACCTATTCTATCGAGCAATTTATAACGCTTTTGCATTTTTCGATGTGTTATTACTAAGACTTTAAATCCTCCTTATCAATCTGTTTCAATGCAAATCAATAACATGTCATATGTGCACATTTTTGTTGATTAATGTTCTTAAGGTAATTAAAAGAATATTTTATTGTCAATTAAATATCCACTTATATGACATTCCTATATCCCTATGAAAGATGCAAATATGAAATCATGCATTAAAAATGCTAGAACATCTATAGAAATTATGTAAAGTATAGCTTTATATCTCTATTCCATGTCGAATTTTAAAATAATAATTGCTATAAAGTGCTACTTATTCCATTGCCCCTCTCAAAATGAATAAAAATTTACAATAAATCCAATTGATGTTCAAATAATTGAAAAGTCATTAAATTCTATAACAATCATCCAAGAATAAACATATATTGAGCGTTAAATTATTGAATTTATATTAAACACTTCATAATAAGGGTACATCAATGTCTTAGTAATTGGAAAATTAGCCCAACATTACAAAATTACAAGAAATCATAACTAATTTGTATGACGTCGCCCGAATTTTGATTAATTGAAGAAGAAGATGAATTTTGAAAATTTGAACCTCTTCAATGATTTCTTAATATATTTTAGTTGTATCTTCCTTTCGTTACCCAAAAATCAGTAACATTTTCAGTCTTGGTTTGAATCAACTATTGAAAATTGCAATTAGGTCCTTAAACTTTGGATTTCTCAATTTTCACAACATTTTCCTTATTTCTTCCAATTCCAAGTCCAATAATAGAGTTTTCCTAATAAATGAAATATATACAAGATTAGGCTAAATTTATCAAAAGAACAACAAAATGTCATTATTTTTAAGCTCGAATAAGTGTATAAATTAC